CAACGGTCTTGTAAGAAAAGCCTGTCAGCTTCTTCGAGGTCTAACTGGGCAACTGCATTGCACCATGGCGGGGCTGGTTCGATGCCCAACCTCTGCAAAGATCCCCGAGTCCGGGGCAGCACCTTCGGTATGTCCTGACGGGGCTTTTTGCTAGGTCGAGCTGGTGGGGCCAGCAGCTCATCCAAGGCCACGTCCCCAAGGATAGCCCGAAGGGCGGACCTCGGGTGGCTTTCGAGGTCGTAAGCTGACTTGATGCCAGCTGACTGGAGTTGTGGCAAGAACTGCACGAGCTTCTTGTGCAGCAACACCTCTGTAAGGCTTGCAAAAGTGTGCCGTTCTGACTTGACGGCGTCTGACCACATGACTCTGGAGCCCTAACGGCTTAAGCTGACTAAGGGGCTCGAGGAGTATGGCTGGCGTGTTCCGCAACGCAGGTTGTCGGCTGTTGCTACCACAGGACTCGCACCTAACAAGTGTTTGGTGAGCCGTGACCAGCTCCTTTGAACAAGTACACCCACACACCACGCACACACACGCACACCCACGCACACGCAGCCTAACAAGAAACTGCAGCTACCTGGCACACACTTCCCTGCACACCGTTACGAGGTCACTAGCAGCGGAGGGGGGCAGGAACACAAACTTGCGCGAGCTGAGAGGGGGAGTGGCTTCACTCTACCTAGCGCATGACCTGACATGACAACTGGCTTCACAAACTAGCACTTGACCTAACAGGAAGCAGGGCTGCACTCTACCTAGCACACATCCAGCAAGCACCGTGCTGCATCACCCTCGACGACCGCAAACGGCGTCCTGCCCTGACGGGCCTTTTTGGCACGGCTAGCCTTGGCGAAAAAGGAGGTCAAGCCTCGGCGTCGCTAACGAGATAGGTTTGTACGGGGCCTCGCCACATGGAGTCACTGACCGGACATGGGTCAGCTCTGACGGGCCCTTTTACTATACACACTACCGGGGCTACTAGTTGTCTGCTCTGGTACATGCAGGACAACGGTGCCTACTGTGAGCGCGTCTGTAGCCGCGCAGGTTGTGCCGCGTGCATGTGTGCCTTAGGCACCGTGGGCACCTCACCCTACATGCTGACCTTAGGTCCCAGTAGCTCGGCGGTGTAGTGCGGAAAGGCTCCCCGTCCTCCGCCACAAGTGGTGCCCACGGAGGCAAATTGCCTTCCGTGGGCACCGGTACAGCAGCTCCGCGTGGGTCACCGGTGTAGCCTGGGAAGTAGCCGGGCGGAGGTCCTGACGGGAGCTTGGGAGCGGCGTTGGTGTCCTCGGTTGCCTTGGCCTTTGGCGTCTCCTTGGGCTGACCGGTTGCCTCGGTGCCATTGTTCCCGGCTGTACCCGAACTGGAGGAGGCTGCTCCACTCGCTTTCTTGGCTGCCTCGGTGTCACTGGAGCCAGCTGCTCCAGAACCAGTCGCGCCGGGCGACGGACGCCAGTCATCAGGCACTGACGGGGGGCGCTTCTGTGGAGGTCCAGTGCCTCGTCTTGCTCTTGGAGATCTGGCCAGGGACCTGACCCTTGCCCGCAAACACTGCTCCGAGAGCTGGCTGGGCAGGGCAACCTCCGAACAAGCCACCTGTGTCAGCTGCACGTCGAACTGGCTATAGTCCAGCTCAGGGGGGAGCTCGTCGAGGTAGTCGGCGTCGTTGTCACTCCACTGACGGGTGGGCCATCGTCATCAGGCTGGCCCCACGTATGGGCCGGTTGCACATCTCCCGAACCAGTGGCAGTGGGATCACTGTCAGGATCTGGCACCGATGGCAGTTCTCCGAACAGGGCTGCGGCCAAGGCTGCCGGGTCGTAGGTGCTAGCTGCTAGCATCGTTGCCTGGCTGCTTGAAGGCATCAAGCCCTTCAGCAACACTCTGACCCAAAAGGGCTGACAGGCGCCCACGGTGGGCCACACGGAACTCCTCGAGGGCATCCATCAACTCATCTTCTGGGGCCTCACACAGCACCTTAAGTGCGGCCACCACTGACGGGTTCAGTTTCTTCCGTCCCTCGGCCATGGCTCAGAGGCAACGCTAGCTGTCGCTTGTCTAAAAAGGCAAAACCTCGAGAGGACACAGCTGCTCTAACAGGCGTGTCACAGTTCAGCTGTTTCGCTCTACTTGTCACAAGGTGCACACGTGCACTTCCGGGTAAGTCACGAAATGAAGAGCTATCTGCTCCAAAAGGAGGTTGCCTAATCCATCAGTTCGCCCTGCCAGGGCTCAATTTATCTTCCGACTCGATCAACAACGTTCGGAGCCATTTGCTTCCGCGCAGCCATCTTGACCTTCCATTCAGCTCACATGGCTCGACACGACGACACGAGAGACTTCGAGACGCCCCCAGTGGAAGCTTCAGACTAGGGCTGCGGCTGCAGCATGAAAGGTCCGTTGACGTACCTCAAGATTCAAACACATCATGGCAAGACCAGCACTGCCGGAGGCTTGCACATACTTGTACTTTGCATGTCTTCACATGCCGCGTTGCTGAAACCAAGGTCCAATCTTTCCAACGCCTGTCAGTGAATCGCAATCACATGCATCCTACATGCGTTCGCGAAGTTCGCTGTCTGATAGCTTTGAGGCTTCTGGGAGCCTGAGAAGAACCATTGCATGATCAATCCCAGCCTTAGCGCCAAGCACCGTTACACCGTTGCTGAGATCTTCTTGGTACCTCATATTCCTTCATGCACAGCTGCCTGAGGCCTAAGGCGAAGACTGCATTCCTGCAAAACTGCCAGTGTCCAAGGGAAAGCATGCAGCGAAAATCATGCTCCTCCGACAGACACGCACTGAGCCATCGTCGTGACAGGCGGGAATGCATGCAACGCGAATGTGGCTGCACGCAAAGCTCCCGTAAGCATGAGCAGTGCCAGCATAGAACTGCGTTCTGTCCTGGAGTCGTGTGCGAGGAGAGAGTTGTGTTCTCTGGGACTTTTTTATGCTGACTGCGACAGTCAAGGCATTCCAACTCTCTAAGTTGCGGGCGAAAACAAAAAGATACACCTCAGACCATGTCAAATCATCCTCACAGCTTCTCTGCATTCCTATGCCGCTGCTCATCACCGCGTGGTAAGGTTTTTACAGACGTGCTTGTGCCGCCAGGCTACATCGCAGAAGAAAAGTGCCTGCTGAAAGAAGCGGTGCAAGCATGCTTGTACACTCGAGAAGTGTGTCGAATGCGCTTGCGCGGTCATTGGCCAGACGCAGCGCTGAGATTTTTCGACCAGTTGCTCTGATGCAATAGAAACTGTACCAGGGACACAGCAGGAAGCCCCAACCAGTGATGAAGAAGACCCAGTGAACCACGTTGTCCACGACCTTAACTGTTGCTGAGCTGCCCTCTGTCAGCTACACCTTGCGAATGGCCAGCGCTCTTATCAAAGCTTTCGCAACATGCGAGACGAGGAACGTTTCTTTTGTTTCCACCCAGCTGAGGTAAGCATGAGTACTTCAAAGTACCCTTGGAGAGACGATACCTCGTCTTCAAATCGTGTGCCAGTTTCTGGTATACGCACAATCAACAACATCATGGAAGCTCGGTCAATCCGGGTTGCATCCAATTGTTTGGAAAAGTCATCCCACTTAATGGCCCCTGTCGGCACCCGAAAGCTTCGGCCAGGTGCTGCCAAACCTGGTCGCCAGTTACTTGCTTGGATGACTTCGTGCGGCCTCAACGCGATCAATCGATACTGCTCAGAGGACACCACAAGCAGCTTAGCGAAGAGGAGGACAGAGTAGTCATAAGTAGGCAGATCAGACGGCCTTGCCGGCACATGCAGCATCGGAGAAACAGGAGAATTAAACATGGTCTCCCCAGACCTCCCTTGACTGGTTTGCCGAAGCCTCGGCATCAATGCAATCAGGATGAAGTACCCTTGGTTGCGCAGCCGGAAATGGGGTACGGTACTGTTCACGGAGCCAGCAGGCTAAAATTGTCTTTGCTGCAATGTTGCCGCCGTAGTTCACCAGGAGCATTGTTATGTGAAACCTGTCACAAACATTTGTTCTGGTTGCAACACGAGGTAGGACTGTTCATAAAGGTTTCTGCTGTTTGGGGTGAAAGATGCGAAAGTCCTTCCGTAGAGGGTGCATCGCAGGGTCCTAATTGCTGGCTTTGCAGTGCTCGTCGCGAGCAGGAGTGCAGCGTTGGGTGCTGTTCCCATGCATGGATGCACTTCCCAACAACGGGTTCTTTAGTCTTTTGGTATATGACATCTTGTGCGAGCTGCCATGGGCCACTTTGATTGTAGGAGCGTGGCGCACCAGCTTCCACCCATTTCGAATTCTCGCCAAACTGTGAACTCTGAAGTTCGCGTTTCGTACAGGCTAGTACGCACTGTCAGACAACGCCATCAGCGGCTTCCAAGGCGGACGTCATCCGCTTCCGCGTCGGCACCATGACCAACAGTCAACATTACCTTCAAACACCGTTACTGCTGACGAGCGAATTGCATGTCGAGCCTGTAGACAAGTGAAGGCCGTTCCATCCTCGGTTAATGCCCATCTCACGGCAGAAGCTGACTCAGCTGCGAAGCATGAGAATCTGTTGACTAGTCGTCAATCTCAGCTAGCTTTATATTTATATTACTTGACTTCTCCTCGCCTGATCCACTGCATCTCAGTCTCCCATGCTTCACTATCCTCTTCGCGAAATGATCCAGCCGCTGGCCTGCTGTCATCGCATTAAACTTGTCTTTTGGCAGGTCGAAATAATCACCATCCCTTAGAACAGCGAGGCGCTAGCAAGTTCTCGCACAGCCGGCGCGATTCGTCGCATGCTGCATGCAGGTTAACTCGCCAAGGCTCCAATCTATGTCCGCCATCGCTGGGAACACAGCAATCTGCGGTCTTGAGCACTGTACACTGCATTGGATGAATGCAAGGTGCAGAGTGTGTTATCCCACGAACCGGGCCCTCAACAGGCATGTCTGTGCATAGCACAAGAGGCACGCAAACATGTCGATGCAATACGGTTTGACCCATCAGGCCTTGCGACCACTGACCTATGCAAGGTCAGTACTTCGAGCGTTTCATTGCGAACAGGCTTCTGTTGTCCGGCTGGACCAAGAGCTAAGCTGGAACGCCGTGTGCAAATGCGTGGCTGAATCCTTAACCGATTTTGGCTGATACACGGCCAAGCTGAGCTTCAGGCATGCCACAGACGCGGTATGAAGTCAAGATTCTTCAGACTTCTCTCAAGCTTCAGCTGAACCTCTTCGCAGCATTGAGGATCGCTTTCGTGCGTCTTCGACACATCCAACCACTGTTCTGCACATCTCGAAACATCGCAATCTAGCCGATCCAGAATAATACAGCGAGTGCCACCGCTCTTGGACAATTCATGGTGCCTCTGCCCCGGCACCTGCAAACCTGACATGCTGGCAAGCATCATATTTGTCATATCGCAACCTTGCCATGATGTGCAAACTCTTGGCGCTAGGCTTCCCTTGGAGATAGCTCAGCAGTCGTCGAATCAAAAACCTTCACGGAACGTGCTTGAAAAAAGCACTTGATGCTTCCATGGCCGAGGTCGCCCACGTCAGGAGCCGGACAGATGTCAGCGGCGTACCAGGCCTGGTGGCGGAAAGAAAGATCGCTGCTTGGCTGCAGGCTTTACAGCATGCCGGACATTGGACAAGACCCAAGCTGCCACGGTGTTGATGTGGTCAAAGTCTTCCCCGGACCAGACTTTGGCGTAAGGTCCTTTCTGAGTCAATGCAACATCTTGGCTGGCAATTCACTGGCTCTGGTCAACTGCAAAACCGAGTGCGATGCATACAGTCGAAGCGAAAGCTCGTCACATATGTGGAAACCTTTCTGCAGCCAAATATAGCCAACTGCGAATTCAGCTTCTTCGTGCGTGGAGTCTTAGAGTCGAGCACGCTGCAGCGTTGTCGGGGCTGTCGGAGCACAGCCTGCCGGAGTTGATTCGGGCATGTGACAAGGGTCCGATAGCGTCCCCCGCATTGCAAGCCAATGCAAGCCAAGCGGCTCGAGGATCCGTTCTGTCAGACCACTGTTGGGTGCCTGAGGGAAGCGGAACATCACCATGGGAGATTCTTAGCATTGGGGCACGGGAGCGGAGGCCCCCGAGCCTCTTCGAAGTGATGCCTGCCACGAATCTCCAAGTCCTGTTCGTGCAGTCTCAAACTATGTTCACGCGTGGCTTCCTACCGGCCTTCCGGGGGGAACCGGTGAGGCACCATGGTCCGCCAAGGCCTTCATCCTCAGCCTCTAACACTTCAAGCCACTTCTCTGAGCTCCGCAATGCAAACGACAAGAAGCCAAATAAAACGCAAACACTCGTGCTCAGTTTTGCCTGATGTGCTCTGTGACCAGGGGAAGCAGGAGCTTCCAATCTGGCAATGACCACGGTCTTTGCAAGCACTGTGCTACCCAAAAGACACCGCCGTGTGCACTGACCGTTGGGCCTTGTCTCTGCGTCGTTCTCTTCCTCCTGTCCAGCACTGCGGACTTCGTGTTTTTTTTGGCTTCCCATCATGCCGTGCTCACTGCGACCAACGCCTCGACTGTGTCTTCTGTCAGCACCTCAGACATTGCGAGCCGGTTGCGGTGTCACTGCACAAGGAGCTGCCTAGCACAATGGGTCTGGTTTCCTGATCCCTGATCAGTCTCGTTGGGTCGAACCGTCATAGAAGCTGATAAGGTCTATCTAGTGAAGGTTGAAATGTGGAGACAAAGTGTCAAGCAAACGTAACCGCTTAACCCCTCGCCAGATGCAGTCAAGGAGCTGGAGTCTGAGAAGACGGCTGCAGTGCCAAAGCTTTTCGTGCGTACCGCAGAATGAGTTCGTCGTGCCGGTACCTTTGCGTCTGCTGTCTTCTGCTATACCTGGTATGGTACGCCGAGACCGAGGTGCCGAGGCAGGTTTGCACTCGGCGTACCCTTGGTGCCTGGCTCTGGAAAATCCTCCAGGAATTTCTTCAGCAGGTCGACGCGCCTGAGAATCTGGCAAGAAGTGTCTCGCCCTGCACTTGCTGACGAAAATGAGAGAATGACGCATTCATGAGCAGGCTTTCGACGATGAGTTCCGGTTTCCTGTGAGGGATGCCAGATATTCACCATCAGAGCAGCCTGTGCTACTGTGCACTCTTCGTCCTGAGGAGCTTCAGAAAATGTGGCCGCATCGTCTCACTAACTTCACCCAGAAGTTGTAGGGATGCCAGCAGTACTCGCAGGCGCTCTTCCTCGTGCCAAGTGGCAAGACAACAGAACTGAAGATGCAAACTGCAAGAAGTCAAGCACAGTCTTGTGCTCTGTTCTTGTACCCTGTGGATCCCAGCGCCTCCCCAGGCGTCAACCAGGACTGAAGTTGCTTCAAGAGCATTTGGCAGAGAAGAGCTCGGTGCTGAATGACATCGAACCTGCGTTGCAACTTTGAACTGCTTAGCCGGCAATGCCATCTGTGGAAACGCGCAAGTCTGGTGCTTCAGTGCGCGGCATATCCAGGAGCTGCAGTGCAAACGACACTGCTTGTGAAGGTGGCAGTGACAGCAGCCTGCCAAAAGCTGAAGACAAAGAGCCGGACAATGCTGATTAAAGTCCGAGGCAAGGGTATGGCAAGGGTATGAGCCACATTGCAGTTTGTTGTAATCCGCAGGATCCCCTGCCCAACTCATAACATGTGAAACTACATCTTCCAGCAGCAATGCCAGCGACTGAAACGCGACTGTTGTACTCCATACCCTCCAAAAAAGAAGTTGAACCAGCTGTGGACTTAGCATCTGATTGCGCGACTCTTTGCAGCTGGAGATTAAGTTATGTAGCTTGGAGCTTGCGAGGCTCGGCCTTGCGAGAAGCTCGAACGGTACATTTCTTCGAGCTCGGATACTTCCGAGATTTATCGGAACTGATCTTTCGGCGGCTCGGCATTGCAGGTAGGGACTGTCTGCAAAAGGCTCAGTGGCTTCGGGTCGTCGGGTCGATCTCTCACCAAGACCCGGCGCCACACATAGTTTTTCACCTTGTTCGGACAGCCAACACGGATGACTCTAGTAATGCCTCTGCTCGCACGCTTCATAACCAGCCGGCTGTAAGACTGTGTCTTTGCCGCGAAGATTCGCTACTCATCATTGTCATGTCGATGTCCTGGAAAGGCTTGCCACGGATATTCTCCTTGGCTCCGCGTGTGCGTGTAAGAAGCCCAATCCCAATCAGCCGCAGCAAGGTCAATCATGCTTCTTTTCCTACTGTTCAGTGGTCCGAAATTCCAGCAGCTTTCGAGCGCCAGATGGGCGGATTAGGTATGCCTGCGTTCCCGCGTAAAATCCAGCAGCCGGAACTTTGGACCAGCCAGCCTCGAGCTCCACTGCAAACACAGAGTAAACATGATTGTCCATCACTGTCATGCTTGCGCTCTTTTGCGACCGCGATGCGCCGTGCAGAAGCTCGTACAAGGCCGACGTCACCAGGTCCCAGCCACGCAACGGATCCTTGGCCTGCAGAAACGGCCCGGGCAAGGAGCTGTTGCCCACCTGCAACGCAGGCAACGCATCATCACACCGGCCCGAAGAACTGCTTCAGCTCCGGAGGCCTGGTCTTCTGCACGCCAGTGCCCAAAAAAGAAGAGCTTGATCACCTCTGTTAAGGGAGAGCACAGAACCCGCTACGCTATGCTACGCTATGCTGTGCGAAGCCTCGGCATCCGCTGGAGCCAAGGGGAGCTCCCGCTGCATCCGCTCCCGCCAGCCAGGACAAAAGACCACGTCGTCCTCCATCACGAGATACCAGGGGTCACTGTTTGGGTCACCTCAGATTCGTCACGTGCAAATCAACAACACCTCGCACTCCTTCGTCTCGCACTGAGCCGAGCGCCAATTGCTGCCGCTCCCTGAGTGGGAAGCTTTCCGCTGGCAAGGTCACGCCAGAGTCGCACGTGAGCTGCAGCGATTGCTATGACCTTTGGCACAGTAGAGGCGCCACGGGCAAACATCCCACTCCTGGTTGAAAGAAGGCAGTCAGAGATCTGCACCTTCGGCACACACCCGTGGTGATCGTGCTGAAGAAGTTCGTCGACATTTCTTGGAGACATTCTGAATAGATTACTCCAAAGCTCAGACATAGCTGCACCTGAGGTCACGCAAATCAAACGGGTATCGGCATCAGCGGTATCGATAAGACTCACATGACATGGTCCATGTTGAGCTGCCTGCCTAGGTTTGGGGGCTTCCCCGGAGAGGTGTGCATGCACACCATCCAATTGCTCACGGTGGAATGCAGGCTGGCAGCATTCCCATACCTTCCAGTGTCACAACAAGTAAGAGGATGGGAGGCAGAATGAGTGCATGCTCCCGGGCGAGGTTGACCGCCCCTCTGAGAAGGCGGCTCCTTCAACAGCTGCAGCGCTTCGAGGACCTACGCTCAAGACAATGCCAGTGATGGGTGATGTCGCGTCCGACGTCCGAGTAACGGCACTTTAGTCACTAGCTTTTTGAGCTCACTGTCTCAACGATTCAGCCTGCCTCGGATGGCATCCTTCCATCGTAGCCGCGCCTGTTGAGGGAAAGGACCAATGCCATGAGCTTCAATGCTTTGCTCGCTTGTGTTTATTCAAAGTTTGAGACCCTGTGAGGTATAGTACGAGAATACGAGAATGTGCGCACCATCCTTTGTTGGTTCAAGTTCCAGGGTACTCGCTGCGGCCGGGGGACACCATCTCTGCTGGCACGCCCATGTCCTCCAAGAGGGCAACGAAAACTGAAACATCGCTATGCATCACGGCGCGGCAAAACCGTTCGAAGGTCCTTGAGCTCTTCTGCAGTGACGGTGTACTTGTCGGGTTCTTAGATGCAGGGCTTCTGTGAACTCCCTGCTGCGAAAGAGACTGGCCTGCATGCAACGTGGGACTATTCAGACTCAGGCCTGAACCAATCGAAACCACCAGCGCTTTCTGAAAGAGCGCGCCATCTTGGTGAGCCTAATGGAAGACCAGTACCATCAGACTATCAGGACCAGAATGCGTCGGCGAGAAGAGCCCGCCTCTTGCGCGGAGGGGGCAGTCCTTATTCCGAGCCTGTCTTTGAGACCGGCCGTTCTCTGGATCAAGGATAAGCACTCGCCTGGAATCGTCACACAGACTACTCAGCACTCAGCACCGTTAGACATAAATGACATAAACACAACACACATCTTCTCTGCGTTGTTCAACCCAGTCTCTGTGCACATCCTCGGCATCGAACCCATCTGCATCGCCAGTTGCAGCACCTGGTAGATTTGCGCAAGGTGTTTTCGTTGTGGCTTCTGGCGATATGCCTTTATGATGAGAGCTGCATGCATGCTGCAGCCATGTGTCGCTCGAGTCCAGAAACAAGAAGCGACAATGCGATGCCAATGTGTCGCCTGACATAGTCCCAAAACACAGGAAGTGACATTCGCTCCTCTGGCTTCCAACATGCTACACGGCTACACACGATCTGAAGTCTTCGCTTGTTTCATGTACGGCTGAACGCTCGGGGCCCTGAGGCAGCTGCAGCTACGGCCGTCTCGACATCGAAGCATCAAGTCAAGAGCTTAAATTACAAGCTCACAAGCCAACGAATATCGAAGCTAACCTTGAATGGGCTTGCCCGCTTATGCAACGCGATTCGAGTCAAGCAGTGAAATAAACACACACACACACACACAAAAGGTAAAACTTCTCCAGTGGGCCCTGGCAACGACCTGTTACAAGTAGCGGAACCATGCAGCGGCGATTACTCAATGATTGAGACAAGCGGCTGCCTAAGCATCAAATCGTCCAATAGTGGTGTTGGACCTTGCCAGAATTGTGGAGTCCGTTTTGCCCGTGGGTTCTCAGGGTCTCTCTGCGGTTCCAAGGTTCTGGCTTCAAAGGTGGACTTCCGGTTCACTATCTGCGGGTGCTCTTGCCATCAGGACGACGGCTTGAGCAGCAAAGCTATGTGGAAAGTTCGTTTCCGACGACAGCAGGAAACCAAGTTCAAGAAACCATCAAAGTTCTGCCAGCAAGCGGACACAAGGTGGCTAAGGTCACTTCTCTCGCACCGTGCCTGTTGACGGCATTGGTTTTGTCATGCTTCCTGGGATGATGCAAGGGCTGGGTCGGCAAACCAACGCGGCTGCTTCTTCCAAGAAACCATCAAAACGTTCAAACCGGCACCCGTCAAAGCAGGCAAACCCATGCAAAGGGAGTCACGAAGTATTCCCATGCAGACGAGCCGCGTGGTAAACAGATAGTGCAATCTTGACAGCTCCAGGGAGTGCAGGGGATCTGTCATGCCATACATCTGGGCCTGAGGAACGTGCCGCAAAGTCTTGATGCGTTCCAAAGATGCTGGATTTCTTTTTCATCTTCAGTTGAGCCAAGCTCAGAACGAGTGTGCGAGCCATGTCATGCTGCTGCAACGACAGAAGGTGCTCCACAGCCTCACCAACCTGCAACCGCAGCGGACGGAGGGTAGCGTATCGACGCCCATGCTCGAAGTCATCAAATCTGAGACCACAGTCACTAGTTCAACGAAGAGGGTGTCAAGTAGAAGGTCTGGCGTATCAACCATAGAAACTCTCGAGCGGACCTAGAAAAGTCGTGGACATCCGGAAGCCCAACGGTGAGAAAGCAAAGTTGAGCCACTCTGAACACATAATATACGCTTCTACCATATCCTCAGCCGAAAGGAAGCCTCAATTTTCGGCGAGGCGAGAAAAAACAAAAGAGGCTTCCGATCATCTGCTTGACAAGGGTGATTCTCAGGTTGCTGCCCAAACCATCCCACATCGTGAAATTTGTAGCCTTACGCATATCCTTCCCTCAACCGGCTCCACCCCTGAAAGGCCTATCCATGCTACGGGTTTACCAAAACTTCCCCTCACGACCTCACTATGAGAATATGTAACCTGGAAGAATTCACTTTGCCTGCATCTTGCTCATGTCCTCTATCTCCTGGAATGGAATGAGAAAGTCTGGAATGGCCAGCAGGCAGCAAGACGTTGAAGTGCACCGTGTCCTGCCACACTTGCCAGCGTCCGTCGGACACTTGCAGGATCTTCTCGAATGAGACCATCCTTCAGGCAGAGCTCTGCCACCGGCTTGCCAAACAAATCTCTGGGGAGTGCACCTTTGCAAAATCCTGCGAAGCTCCTGGAAAGAAGACATGATTGCAGAAAAGCTGACTCCGGCAAGCTCGCAGCTGTTGAGCCCTGCTGAGTTCCGGAGCACAAAGATCATGTTCGGATCGAAACAAAGAAACGGCAGCAATCCATTGGACGCGATGGAAACAGTGGACACCTTCTGCCGCCACATTTCGGCTGTCACTTCCATCTGGTCGATGTTGGTGTCCGGCAATTTTCAAGCGCGATTAACCGAGTTGTTGCTTCAGTGCAGCTTCAGGTTCCCAAAAGTAGTCACGCGTGGCCATCTCAATGGCCAACAAATCGAGATGACGGTTTAAAGCAGCCGACATGCACGGAAAAAAAAACTCAGAGGACGGACATGATGCTGGAGCGAGGCCTTGCCGGGAAGAGTCTTGACGTGCAGAGGAAATGCTGCTGCCAACCGTTGAAGCTTGGAGATAGGTTGGCGACATTGGTGCCACGGTACTGGTGGGATCATGTGGGATCCTGCAGGAACATGCAACAACCTGAAAGCAATGAATGTACGGGAGGGGGAAATGACATGGGAGCGGGCTACAGAAAAATAAACTAACAGTTTTGAATACAACATGTTTCAAAGCCAGGCCTCATTCGTTTCTCATGTTTGCACCGCACGCGGAAAATCACGGCGTTCCATGCACCTTTCCCGAATCGTTCATTCGCGGCTTCGTTTCCAGCGACCTCGGGTCGGTTCCATGCGTCAACTGTTCCCACTTGGTTTGGGATTTGGCGTGTTGCTGCTGCGAATGCTATCACCAGAACGAGCAGAAGAGCAATCGAACCGCTGTCGTTATGAATTGCACAATGGGAACAAGAGGGTGTGGAGACACAGACCGTGCAAGAAGCTTATCTGTGGTGATGAGAATGAGCACGATGCAGGATGAGAAAAGCGTGCGAAGATCGTGTTCGAGGAAATGAAGTGGACATCTCTGCGAAACAAGGATTCTTATATCTATTGGATTTGGAACACACGTGTCAGCTCAGAAAAGACCGGACTCAAACGCTCACATTGGAGTCACAGAACAACTTGCTTTTTGGGGCCATGCTTGACTCTACAGATCGGCTGAAAGGAGTGCTCAAAATTGTGCTCAAAGGCTCTCCTGCTTCAATGCTGCAGCTCGCCCAGCCTGGCAGGCATGGGCCGTCACAAGCCGTTCTCCAAGTATCCTGACCTGCCCCACAACCTGACTTGGCCTCATTGCTGTCTGCACTTGGCTCATTCTCAATGCCTTAGAGTCAATCTATCTCGGGCTGGGGCTCTGCACGAGAACACGTGATCTCAGCTCTTGGCGATGGAGACACATGGAAAGAGTCTGCACGGCCGTATCGACATCCCAGCGTTTATACCTCTGTGCCATATCCGAGACAAGCATGGCTCGGCTGCTAAAGTTTAGGACTTTCGTCATGCGAGGCCTATCCAGAGTTAGTTGCGCTGCCAGCGTGTGGCCCTTCACACGGTACATGCACCTCAGAGTGCGTACGGCACCTTCGGAAACTGTGTCGCCGCCGGTGACACGGCTTTTTTGCTCAAGGGTTTCTCAGGACCCTGCTCGTGGTCCAAGAGCTCACGATGCACGGCAGACTCGTGCGAGCCAGATGGGGCTTGCTCGTGAGGACCTGAGGAAGCCGATCCCGCTGACTCGATGGCTATACGGCTATACGATGTCGTAAAGCCGTAAGGCATTACTCCCCTTACTCCTCACGACTCATTACTATAGAGCCATGCAGTTCTCTGCTGCCATGCTCTCGGCCCCTGGCTCTTGAGGTAAAGGTGAAGCACTTGATCTGTGAGGTCACTGTCCACGGGTAGATACCTCAGCTCTCTCTCCTTGCCACACTCTATGCAGTCGCCGAGTCGCCGAGCTGGGACTCGCACTCGTCGCATGCTTGCAGTGCGACCTCGTACCGCTCTTCGGCCTGAGGATCCCAAACTATGCAACAATGGACCATGTAAGTCTTTATGTGCACAAAAACGTTGTAACCAAGAAAGCAAGAGTCAAGGTCGTTCAAGTTCCGAACGATGAGAGCATTCACCAGCTTCGTGAATGCCGCTGACATGCTCGCCTCAAGTTTCGGTTTCCGAGAAGCCCACGAGTAATCAAGGCTTTGCTGCCAACTTGGCCTCTTGATCGTCGCCAGCAGCTTGCAGCGCAAGCTGCTCCTTTCGACGACGTTTTGGAGCAACTCCCGACAGCCTCACAGGCGATCCTCTGGGTCAAGCTTCGCAAACTCCTCTTCCGTGTATCCGATGCCTCCGATGCAAGCGCCATTTCTCACGTCCAGGGCACTGTTACACTTTCGACAGGTCCCGCAGTCCTTCAGAATCTTGAACTGCACTACCCTGGCGGCGAGGCATATGTCAGTCGTTCAAGTATCACATGTTCATGGAAACTTTCGACACATCATCTGGTGGCACTGAACTTCAAGCCTCCCGCGCACTTTCGGTTTCGGATGCATCGTCAGTCACCTTTGATGGCTTGCATAAGGGCCGAGTGCTGAAGATGCGACCGTCTGAGTGTCAGGCCTGCAAACATGAGGGAAGGCTGTCAGCGTCTTTGCCCTGTGACAAGGGTCTTTGCTTCGTGCAGCCTACACTGCATTGGCGTTGAAACGGACAGCTCTGTAAATTGCATGGTTTGGCTTGCAAGTCGCACACAAAGTTCGGCGGACCTTTCCCGTGTTCGTGGCCTACGGTAGTGCCCAAACTTCCCGAGTTCAAATTTCTGAGATCCGAAAAACAAGCAGGCGGAGCTCTGACGGACGCGGAATCCAGGTGTACTCTCGCATGCCAATGTCTGCATGTGGCTTGAACAAGTTCGAACTTCTCCATTGATATGCAAGAATACATGCAAAAAGTAGGATGCAGCCGGTGTAGAAATCTCGTTTGTCATCTCGGCCTGAGTAGTGGACGAAGGTGAGTGGCTGTGTTGACCCACGGTTCAAGGGCGTTGCGCTGGCATTGAACTGTTCCCCCACCAGAAGGAAGTCCTCACCGTCACATCATCATCGAATCCACCATCACACGAGACCTTTCCCATGCAGTCCAGATGCAAACATCACACTTGATTCTGGCAACGACGTAGCTTTCCAGTACCCACGTACGAGTGCGGGCACCCCCCGTGGGATTCTATTGTCCCGACCCATACGGCCTGCGAGCGCCTGGGAGCTCCAAACTGCCTGAACCTGCACGAACCTTTCTTTGTCAATTTAGTGTTGTGCACGAATTCAAACTGAGATCTGCACGGACAGGACTATTCACGACCGACCGTTGGCGGAAAAAGCACTCGTGTAGCCTTCTTCTGCCAGATATGTCATGCATGCTGCCTTTGGCCTCAATCTTACCCCGCCTCCCCCCTCCGTGCCTCGGATCGAGCATCTGCCCACCGTATGGCACGTAAAGTGTGCCAACGCTCCTGCTGGGCTCTGTATGGTTCTGTGAGTGGCTGGTCATGCTCGGATAAATTGTCCTCGACCCATCGGTGCAATGCAGGGAAGCGCCGACTCTGCTCCTTGTGGCCGCTGCACTCCGATGGCTCCCGTTGGCTCCCTCCTTCAGAGCGTCCTTTGCGAAGCGGAGCATAGGCCACGAAGGCCAGTGCTGGCCGCGACACTCCAAGCAAGCCAATGTGGCCAGCAAGGGCGCCTTCCAAGTCACAAGGAACTCTCCCGTGCTTCCATCCTTCCCCCTCATATCCCTCAAGCTTCAATGCAGTGCGAGTGCCCAGTGCCCACCTCAGAGCAGCGCACTCTAGGTAGCGCCCTCTCATGCTGCGCGAGGTACTGCACCACCTCAGCTTTGAATCACTGAGCTGGAGTCACACACGCCTCCCCGGCAAGCCGCAAGCCTCCATGGACATTGGATACCTGCCGGCAGGATCGGCGCATCTGAACAGGTATCAACTCCGAGCTTCAAGTTTTATGAGCCTAGATGTGCCTGGGAAGCGTGCTCAGCAAGCGGTCCTTCTGGCTCAGCTCCTTGGAAGGACTCTGCTACAAACGACTGCGGCGGCAGCTGCAGCCTAAGCTTCCAGCTCCGTCGTTCCACTTGAACGAAGCATTTACAATCACCTGAGCTGAGCTTCAGCGAAGATGTTCCTCCACGGGGCTGTTCTCAGGATCATGACATGGCAGTAAGGACTTCGCTTCGACGATGTCGATGCTCGTGATTTCTGAGAGAGCCAATGCCTGTTTTTTCAGCAAGGTCCAGCCGACGGCAAGTCGTGCTACACGTGGCCTGGCGATGTCCTCCCAGTTCGAAGAGCAGTCTGGCAACAATGCCCTTGGGCCTTGTGCGGACCAGTAGCTGCACTAACCACTGTTGACATCTGTCTCGAACTATGCAAGGTTCTGACGGCTCAGCAAGGACGTCGAAAAGCTTGGTCACCCCGGCAGCCTGTAAAGAGGCTGCTATTGCCACGTGTCTACGCTGGCTCGCTGGCCGCATGTTCGGATATGGTTTAAGAACCCTGATATGACTTCAGGCCAGCAAAGGAAGCAATCCTGATGACACCCGATGCGTCTCGCTGCCAACAGTGGGCATGTTGACTCCTCAAACATGGCAGAGTCCCTTCCTCATCCATCGTCTCCTCGTTCATCTCGACTGCAGCTCCAGCAGCGGATGAGCTCTCGAACCTGTGCTGCGGGCACTGAAGGAAACGGCTTGCCGGATAAACAACTCTGCTCAGCTTGGTATCCAGCGTCAGTGTCACTGCTTCACGCCGCCTCATGGCCTCGAGACTCAAGAAGTCAAGTCTGAACAAACTTCGGAATGGAGGGTGTTAGCTGTTCGGAAGTTGCAGGAGTTCACTAGCAGCACTGCCACTCAGAATGCCAGTGGCCTCCGCAGAAGTCTTCTTGGGCTTTCGTGTGCCAGCATCCTGAGTAATTTGCGCACATCAAATGGCAACCCGAAAAGACCGTTCAAACGGTTACATCGCAGTAGAGCCGATGCTAGCCCGTTTCTCGGAAGTCGGGATCCTACTTACGGCAGGCCAAGAATTCGAAGTCCTGCGAGGCCGAGTGCATGAGATCCGCCACTCTCGCCAGGTACTCTAAAAAGCGAAGGAGGTACCTGCTGCACTACTACAATCAGAGCAAAATGAAAGGAAGACGCCATCTTCCCACAATGCATTGGCGCCTCGAGGAGCCCAGGCCTTCCGAGATCTGAACAGCATCCTCACCTCAGGCTGTGATGACGTGATGGCCGCATTCAACAGCGTCAGGAGACGCTTTTGCGAATCTCTGGGTTGGTGGAAAGGCAAAGTTCGGGGGCATGGATTCGCAGTCGCTGCCTCAATGCAAGCCTAGCTTCTTTACTGCTTCCGCGTACTGTTAGAACCGACCAGAAAGTTCTTCTGTCGACTGCAAGATCAAGAAGCAGCTTGCAAGTGTCTCAGGAGGTGACGGTCACCAGCATCAGCTCCTGCCACCTGAGAGCTATGCAAGCGACCCTCTTAAACGGTGGTTCGGAACTTCCCGAGCCAGCCAGACTTACGTGTGTCAACTGGGGAAACACAACTGTGCACATCGCGTTCTGTGCAATACCACAGATTCGGATCACATGTTGTGCTACATCATTGAAATCATGTTGCACTCCAGACTTCTTGCGCTGACAAAGAAGCGGGCCTTAGAGCTGTCCTCCTCCTCTCGGTTCAGAGATGTAATGGCCGATGACAAGAAGTCGACCTTGTCGCCATATGGCTTGCATGATAGCAGCTATTGTTGCAACAATCAACAAGGCTTGAATACCACATGGACTCACTCCGCCAAATTTTCAAGGCAGAAAGTCACCTTTCTCGCTCTCTTTGCAATGTGCAGCACTTCATGAAGGTCAGATGCAGCGAGCTTTTGTCACTGGTAAATTTGCGGCGGACGTCGACTTGCCAGGCCAGGCAGAACATCCTTGGTAACACCGGTTCGGTTGAAAGAGCCAAGTCGCACTTCCTGCGTGGCATGATACTTCCGACCTTCGGCCGAGGTTGCCCCAGATTTGCATGGCAGACCACTGAGCTGGAATGGAATCCAAGTGCCGTGCACAAGAACCGTCCAGCTGTGGAGGAACACTGCCACCACGGTGTCTTAGCAAACATCGCCTCACAGCTGGCATCTCCAGAATGTAAGAGAAGAACACTAAAATGAGCGAGCATGTAACAGGCCTGTGAGACGTGTCAGCTTGCCCAGACCGGCAGAGCTTTACGACACGACCTCCTTGGCTCACATGAGCTTATGTTGCATGACCATAGCATGACATGCGTCGCACTGCAGGAATGCAGAGTCTAACCAGGCGGCCCATCATCTCGTGGACAGAGCTCACTTGCAGAACTGCGGTTATGAATGCACCCGAGTCATCCCGTTGGGGATGCCCACGGTGAAGAAAGCGCTCAGCCGCCTTGCGCGACAAACTCTTACAATGTATGTTATAACTGGAGCATGACTTCACTCGGAATCGCAGCTGGTGCCTCAATGTCAGCATCAAGGGGCTTTGTCAAGGATTGAAGTTCTGCCTCAATCGCTCTTGCGCCGACTCAGGGGCGGGAGCAGCTTCCTGAAGTGTCTTTTGTATCAACACGAGGCGATTCCAACCCGGACGCCTGCGAAAAGAACTTGCCGTAGTCGGGGCTGTTTGGATCGGACACGCGCTGCAACGCCGCAGCCAGTTGGCCCGTGTGACTACGCCGCTGCCTGAGAGCAGCAACCGCCCGCACCCATTTCAAAGCAAGCTTGGCAGCTCGCACTACGACAGGACCTACTATCAACCTTAGCTGATTAACACCGAGTTGCCGCACGGCACATTGCAGGGTTACCAGCTCCTCGACGTGGGAAAGACTCGTTCTCGCTTGCAACATGTCAACGACAGCTGTGATGCTGACTAACGAAACACAACTGGGTCCCGAGTGACACCGAAAAGACAGGCTCTTCTTTCTTGTGGTTTCGGGCGATGGCTGCTACTAGATACTCACTAGATCTAGATCGATCTGGAACACACACACACACACACACTGAGCACCGCCCCATGCACCATCTGACTTGCGCCAGCCCTGAACTTAGCAAGAACAGAGATGATTGGCTGGACACACTGCTTGAAACAAACAAGGCAGGCCAGCGGGAAGGCACAGAGTTTTTTTTGGTTGGGAAGGGGGTCGGGTCCACACCCTTCAATTTGTCGTTGTACCTCCTCCCCTCCTTGCCTCTTTCCAACCCCTGCGCTTCTGGAAAAAGCAGTACGTGTTTTTCCTTTTGAATTTTCCCGCCCCACACCCATTCCTCCGCTCCCACCCCCCACCGCCCCATGCTCCCCCGCAATCTTGCTGGTACCTGCCAAACAATTGTTGTTCTTCCTTCTCAAGAGTATATGCAGCATGCCGCCCTCACAGACCCCACAAAATAAACTTCATAACGCAACCCAGTGAATGTGAAAGCCAAACCGTTTCAAAGGATGCACTGAATGACTCAGACAAAGATGCTCCTCTTCATCGACCGCCTCCTGGACAGCACCGCAGTTGGACCTCTAATGCCCGAGTACTGAATTTCGTGGCATTCTTGGCTCCTCGGTCCACTCCGCATGTTGCTCTCGTTGCCGAAGTTGTTGCAGCACTGTGCTCTTTGGTACAGCACTACCTTCAGGCATCATGAGCAGGCTGCAGACGCCAACCAGCGACAAGTGTGGCAGACTCTGCCACCCAGACACAAGCTAACAGCGGGAGTGCAGCCAATAAGATAACTTCCATGGAAGCTGCGCCGGCCAATCGAAGGGCTGGCGACGGGTGCAACTCTGATGTTGTCTGCCTAGTGTGGCAATCTCACGTTGGATGCAGGTGCTGCTCACCGTAAGCTTGTGGTGCTCTGCCTTTCATGCTACTGCACTTGCTTCGTAGGTCATTCACTCTTGTAATTCCAGCTGCAACCGACCTACTATCACTGTGCTGTCACTTAAGCTCGCATTAACTTGAGAGGAGAGCCACGAAAGCTAGGGGAGGGACGCCTGGCAGGGAAAGGGTGGGGCACCACGTCAAGCGAATCTATTGCCACACGGCACTACGAATCAATGCGAATCACTCGAGCGTGACTGAGGCTTGGCATATTTGCGTACAAGTGAAGAATTTCCTGTGTGCATTGGCATTATCGGGCCGGCACATGGTCAAAGACATTGCCAGTGATGTGCTGAGAGTAGTCAAGGCAGGCCAGTGTCTTTGCCAAATGACGTTGCAAATTTTACTCGCAAAAGAAGCGTAAAGCTGGTTGAAACTTGTGCCGATCTACAGGGCCGGGACAACATGTATGCGTTGCGCAAATCCGTTCTAAACATGCTGGACACGGACCTTCAGGCACTGGGTGGAAAACCACCCCCCGATCTACGTTTTGCCCTGGTTCTCACAAGCTCCACAGAGTTATCTTCCGTGAATACATGCGATTGATAGTGCATTGCAGGCAACCAGCGCTCTTTCTGCAAGACCAGTCTTGGAAAAAGCTCACGCGCATGCACTCTGCCGACTCCAGCACAGGAAGGGCCAGCTGGGTCTCTGGCAAGCGTTCTTTGCGAAGCAGACGTCTGTCCTGACGCATGCAAGGGCTTCCAACTGCTGTAGCTGCTCGTCAAGACCGTCCCACAAATGTCCTAGCAAAGGACATGCACATCTTGGGGTAGCCGTTGGCTGCGGTCCTTTCTTGACCAAGTCCACGCTTTCCACCAGCGACAGGATCGCATGCCGCTGGGTATGCAAGCGATTGAGGTGGGACCTCGCCATTCCAAAGTATGAAATCTGATTTGTGCCAGGTCTGCCCACCCGCCGGTCCGTCCTCCGTCCGTCCGTTTGTTGTCTGTTCATCTGTCTCGGTGTCTCTGTGTGTCTCTGTGTGTCTCTGTCTGTCTCTTTCTGTCTCTGTCGTCTGTCCGTCATTCTGTGTGGCTGCCTGCCTGCCTGGCTGTCTGTCTCTGTCTGTGTCTGTCTGTGTCTGTCTGTGTCTGTCTGTGTCTGTCTGTGTCTGTCTGTGTCTGTCTGTGTCTGTCTGTGTCTGTCTTTGTCTGTCTGTGTGTCTGTGTGTCTGTGTGTGTGTGTGTGTCTGTGCGTGTCAATGTGTGTGTGTCTGTGTGTGTGTGTCTGTGCGTGTCAATGTGTGTGTGTGTGTGTGTGTGTGTGTGTGTGTGTGTGTGTGTGTGTGTGTCTGTGTCTGTGTCTGTGTCTGTGTCTGTGTCTGTGTCTGTGTCTGTGTCTGTGTCTGTGTCTGTGTCTGTGTCTGTGTCTGTGTCTGTGTCTGTGTCTGTGTCTGTGTCTGTGTCTGTGTCTGTGTCTGTGTCTTTGTCTGTGTCTGTGTCTGTGTCTGTGTCTGTGTCTGTGTCTGTGTCTGTGTCTGTGTCTGTGTCTGTGTCTGTGTCTGTGTCTGTGTCTGTGTCTGTGTCTGTGTCTGTGTCTGTGTCTGTGTCTGGGTCTGGGTCTGGGTCTGGGTCTGGGTCTGGGTCTGGGTCTGGGTCTGGGTCTGGGTCTGGGTCTGGGTCTGGGTCTGGGTCTGGGTCTGGGTCTGGGTCTGGGTCTGGGTCTGGGTCTGGGTCTGGGTCTGGGTCTGGGTCTGGGTCTGTGTCTGTGTCTGTGTCTGTGTCTGTGTCTGTGTCTGTGTCTGTGTCTGTGTCTGTGTCTGTGTCTGTGTCTGTGTCTGTGTCTGTGTCTGTGTCTGTGTCTGTGTCTGTGTCTGGGTCTGGGTCTGGGTCTGTGTCTGTGTCTGTGTCTGTGTCTGTGTCTGTGTCTGTGTCTGTGTCTGTGTCTGTGTCTGTGTCTGTGTCTGTGTCTGTGTCTGTGTTGTGTCTGTGTCTGTGTCTGTGTCTGTGTCTGTGTGTGTCTGTGTCTGTGTCTGTGTCTGTGTCTGTGTCTGTGTCTGTGTGTGTCTGTGTGTGTGTCTGTGTGTGTGTCTGTGTTGTGTGGTGGTGTGTGTCTGTGTGTGTCTGTGTGTGTGTGTGTGTCTGGTGTGTGTGTTCTGTGTGTCTCTGTGTGTCTCTGTGTGTCTCTGTGTGTCTCTGTGTGTCTCTGTGTGTCTCTGTCTGTGTGTGTGTGCGCGCGTACACGCGCCTGTGTTGGCGTGTGCATTCTGTATCTGTCTGTCCGTCTTTGCTTGTGTGTGCTGATCGTGCCAGTCGCCGCTTGCGAAGTTTAAGGCATCGACTTCAACAGAGCTGGCTCAGACGGCAAAGTTTCAATGCCCAGGATGATGGAAGCCAGGGAGGCTCGATCTGACAAAAGCGACGGTGACAGGAGGAATCCGGCAGCGTCCGATTAGCCTCGTAGCTCTGGCCGGACTTCAATCAGGACACAAAGCCTTTCCACCTGTCAACGTCGAGTTCAACTTCAACGGGCCTTCCGAGACAATCGAGGGTCCAGCCCACGTCTGGAAGAAGCTCCGCATGGCATCCGCAACGACCGGTTCAACGCCCGGGCCCACTTCCTACTGATGAAGCTTGCAATATGGAATGTAGCAGAGAACGACATAGCAAGGAGAAATTCAGAAAAGACGAATTGGAATCGTGCTCATCCATCCCCATGACATGTCTTGACTCTCGACGGTTGTGAGGCGGGCTCCTCGGCAACCAGCCAGTGCGTTGCCTCGCATCTCGTGCATACAAGAGAGCTACGACCAGCGGCGCTGCACAGATTGGCAGTTTGGGACCGCGGCTTTCTTGAGCAGGAAGGTACTCATCTGGCTGAATGGGGCTGCTGACACCTGTGAAGCATAAGTTGGAGGCATTTGGCGACATGGACGATGAGCCATGACGGCTCACGGCATATCACGGTCCTATGGCAGTCCAAGGCACTGCCAGATCGACGAGGACGTAGAAGGCCAGTAGCGGCCGTGACAGTGAACCGAGCCTTGGGCAGTGCACGACTCAGAAAAAGACTCAACAAACAAAGCCTTCTTCGCTCCTCAGTGCCTTGGGCACCTTGTCCGCGTCCGCCCGTCCCCGTCGTTTCTCTTTCATTTGAGCAGCTTCCCGGGTGATTCGTTTCGCTTCATGGGCAGTAGCAGCAAAAGCAAAGGGTTGGAGCTGCGCCAAGCATCAGCCGCCTCGGGCACGACACGCCTAAGAATGAGGCGCTGGCAGATGCCGCGCTTCCGATGTGCCTCGCACAACGGCCGCCGGGCCGTGGCGAGGGCAAATGGCACAGCAAGTCCAGCCTTGAGCGGCGGGAAGTGTCTCGGCCAGCTTTGCCAAGCACACCTCACGATTTCGCACTGACAGATCCTCTCAAGACTCTAAGAGAATGTCAGCACAGCACCCGAGTCGACCGGAAGCCTCCAATTCGTTCTCCAGCTGCTGGTCCAGCCCTGATACATCGCTGGAAACCTGCTTTGCGAGTCCCATGCCACGACACGAACTTTCGAGGATTTGAAGCCACGATGATCTGCCTTGGACTCAGACTCCTCCTCTTCCTTCAAGGCCAACGCAACGCGCATCACCCCAGGACTGTGCCAACACGCCGACTCCCATGGACTGCCTGCACAGCCGGCTTGCCTCTAGTCTCCAGCAACTGCCGCAGCTCCTTTCCGCGGAATCCATCGGAATCCAAGATCTAAGGCCGGAAAGGTTGCACCGTTCTTGCCTTGAACTGTTCTGCAATCCGAACCGCCATTTCAACATGATCTCCTGAGCAAGTCACTGCAGAGTCCGTTGTGCTACGTGCAGCGATGGCATCAGCCTTGCAGGGCGGGGAAGTGGTTCAGTAGCTGCCAGCCTTTCCAAACACAAACGTGTCCACATCTGCGACGAAAGAGCAGCCAGTTTTGAGTTTCTGGCTGAGGGCATAGTCGTTCCTGACAGGTCGGGATGTCAGCTGGCTTGGATAGAGCCTTAAACCCCCCTAAGCCCAGACGCTGACGTGCGCCAGCATTCAGCAATCGTGCCCAAGTCTCATCTTCAAGGAGCGCTGCAAAAGCGTCGCCGGACCTATGCGAGCCAAGAAATTAGAAAGCTTGAAATCAGCATGCTACACTATGCAAGAGCATCATCCGGCAGGAGCGCGGCATGCCAACATGCGCGGAATGAAGGTGGAAGGCAGAAGTGACAAGGGCACCTGGCACATCATGTCGGCCGACTTGCCAAGTACGAGTCTTGCTTTTTGGACCTCCATGGGGGTACAGAGCTGGCGCAACGGGTGCAGCTCGCCAGAAACCTCCCGGCGAGCCCAAATGCGCGCAGAAACATGCAAGCGAAAGGTGGTCACATGCATGACGCTCGCAGCCTCCAAGCCTGAGACACCCTGCCGGACAGCCCGTTCAGCAGCTGCGCCTTCACATGGCAGCGTCAATGCCCGCGAGTCTCGCAAGGAAATTGGCCGTGCTTGCCTTGGAGGCCTCCTAGAATGTCCATATCTCCAACGATGACCGCCCCGACCGCCGTAGCCCACTCCCGTGCAGTGCCCTGGCCACTGCTGATGCTCCCAAACTCCAAACACTCGGACACTTGCCGTTAGACCACATCCGAATGCCAGGGCTTCGTCCTGCTCTTGCCATTTCACTGACAGCTCGCCTCTGCTATGCCAAGATCCCCGGTGCGCTGCGCAGGTGCTAGCGACGCGAATCCACCGGGAACCGCAAGCTGCGAGTAGATGATGTAATCCTTCACATTGCTGATGGAAAGACAATGCTGACAAGAAAGCTTTCGAGAGTCCTTCAGGCAAATGAAGATGCGCCAAATAGTCTCCTGGCCAGGGATGCCATTTGCTGGCGCAGGATCTGTCCCACGCTCACGAAACATTCGAGCGCATTGCACAAGGCCTGCGCAAAAAGCTGGAGCTGTTGGATCGTCTCAAGCTCAGCACTCGGCCCCGAGGCCTCAGACATGAGAATAGGGCCTAACCTGTTCCAGCATGACTTCTCCGGCAACAAAACGAAGAGGCCGCGACTGCCAGGGGTTGAAGGTGGTGCCGCAGAAGGACAAGCAATGAAAGCAATACGCCTGGTGGCACCTCATATGCGAGCCAGTGTAGTGAGCTCAGACAGGCCTTCAGTCCTCTAGGCTTTGTGCCAGAAAGTTTGCCGCACGGGTCGTATTGGGTGTGCTGCGAGCTGATGAGAGGTGATGGTGCCTCAGGGCTTCGAGATTCGTTTACGAACGGGAGCGGTTCACCAGCATTACTTTCGATGCGACGAGACTGCAGCTTGCCTGGCGAAGCAGAGGGAAGATATGAACAAGAAGACAGAAACCTCGGGCAGCGTGTCACTTCGCGTCACGAAGCAACAGAAATTCGGGAGTGCTCGGATGCGCATCATTTGGACATCCCTGCCTTCATGTGGTCCCGCTCGATGGAGCTGATCAAGCCTCAGCCCACACTTTCTCGAGCTTGCAATGGAAGTGGCACGGCGCAGCACATGACAACGTGCTCTTAGGCTGAAGCTGTCCAGCTCGTGGATGCCACCCTCGATGACCTGCGCCGCTGGAGGACACCAATCATTTCCAGTTGCGGTCTCGAGGCCTTGTGGCCGGGCATGGGGCCTCCCGTGTCTGACCTCAGAAGCTCTCGTGCGGTGCATCAAAGGCTCAAGGGATGGCACTTTGAGGTCACGACCCTCCCTCCACGCAGCTTTCGACAAGATACATCGCACACCGAACCTGCAGTTGCTCGGCTGCAAAGTGCTTTCTAAGCATTCGGAACAATGTACTCGGACCAGGCACGGTGTAGTAGCATCGCGCCAGGTCTAGATCATAAGAATGCTCCAGAGCAGCTTGGGCCTTCCAAGCGTGGAGGCACGGGCACAAGAGTCATCAGACGATGCGGGCATTCAATATCATTCAATGGCATGCACTAAGGCAAAAAGCATCCGGAGAGATGAGGCATGACGAGCTGCAGGAAAGGTTTCGTGATTCGTGACGACTACGTCGGCCTGTCGAAGCTGAGGCAGCGAATGCCTCTCGAGGAACCGACCGTGCCATCGTGCCACATCAGCTCTGCTCTCCGGCTGGTTTTGAAAGCACGAATGTGAGCGTGCTGCCAAGTTGCAAGGAGGAAAGCAGCGTGCGGCTGTCCACCAAAGGGAGGTTAGGACGCATGACGTACAAAATGCCTGTGACTCGGGAACGAGCAGGAAAGGGACTTTGCTGCAATTTGCTCTGAAAACCACGAGTAAGCCCAGCGCTGTGAGACGTGACTTGGTCCAAGACATCTGCCGCCTCAAGGTGCAAAGATGTGCAAAGCATCACGGACCTTCTTGGGAAAGCCCTAAGCTCCGGGCAACCTCGACCTGTGACTCTGCAGTCTCCTGCACCTTCCCAGGCACCCAGAAATTGAAGGCCAATGCCATGAGCATGAGGCTGAGGCCTCCGGCTCCACCGGCGAGTCTGCATTCCGGTCATCCTCGCGTGGGGAACGGCAAAAGCCCTCCCGCATCCCTCAACGTCCCCCACCACTGCGTCCGTACCTGTTCGCGAATCTCCTGCTCTCGGTGCTTGCGCCTGAGATGGGTTCTGGAATGCTCTGGAAATGCCATGAGCGAATTGTAGAAGCCACAGCCACACTTCCCGTGCCGCCATCGCTCCATGCTCTTGCCACCGAGCCTCTCCTTCAATCTCTTCTGCTGCTCTTGTCGAACCTGCATGCGATACAGTACGTGGAGATGATTGTAGGACAACATAGCTGGAACAACGAGGCCGCATTGTCTATTGTGTCTCGCTGTGACAGTTGCCCCACGCCAACCCGTGCAAAATGCGCCTGTCTCCTTTGCTGCCGCCTCAGCCGTCGGAAGCATGCAACGCACAAGCAAAGCTCTTGCAGCCCTTGCCTGACCTTCATTTTATGCTTGCAATGCACGGGGCGCGGGCTGGGAAGGGACAGAGGCAGCCTGAACGCATCTCTGTTTGCGTGCTGGTCCCGCAGAAGCTTCCACCCAGCATGCCTGCTCTACGACCACTTTCGAGATCCAGCCAGCAGCGCTGAGCCGATAGTTAAGCACCTGCTCTCTCACACTCGCGACTGCCCCAAGATCATCAGCACGAATGTGCTGTATGCGAAAGCCTCAACCCAGAAATCGACCAGGAGGTCGCCCACCTGGCAACAGCAGATGTGTCACCACACGCGATCAGTGGGTTTTTGTTGACCACATATGCAGCGTATGTGTCCGGATTTCTGTTCCAGCCCCAAACCCACCCAAGGTGTCCGGGCTGGGGGTGGAAAGAACTAGTTGCATATCGGGACAACGGCTTCTGGGTCGCCGACTTGGGCGGCAGATACGTTCGAATACCGCGGACATGATGGAATGGAACCCTCCCGTTTGTTGCTCGGCTTGACGAGTGTGAAAGAACTTCCGATGCCTCAGCTCAGAGGCTTCAGCCTGATGGAAATTCATCGCTGCTGTTCATCTTCAATTGGGTTCAGGTCAGCGGCCTGGTTGTTTGCAGGATCGGTTCAGTCCACCCGTGCGGGCCCAAAGGCTACCTCTAAGGATGTCCCCTTGGAGCTGACTCTCTCGCAGTCGCCCCCGACCTTGGTGCTGTCTCGCAGGGTTTCCTGCGTGTAGCTCTTCCACAATGTGTCGAGCAGCTGTTGGAGGCTTTCCACCTGCCAGTCAGCAACTGCAAGACCTTTTTACATGAGAAGCCTTGGCACATGTTGCTGCGAAATCATCCAGCAACAAATGGCGCACATCACGGCGGAACTCCTCCCAGCAAAGCAGCACGACCTCGCTTCAGCTAAATGCCTTGTCATGCTTGCACCGATTCCGACCGTGTCAGGCTCTGCGGTGCTTTTTTCTGCTTCATGCTAAATGCAAAGGCCTGGTCGCATCCCACAGCCATGTCCGTGGCTCTGCTCCCTCCGGCCAGACTTCCCTAAGTTCGGCCCAGACGCGGGCATGATATTCATTCAACCACGTCAGCTCGGCTGGGGACAGAAGGGACACCTCCACAAGCTCCCGACACATGGGCACCAAAGTGAGGCACTCAAACTTCAGAAAACTAGCCATCTTGTATGACATCGTCGCAGGCACTGCCAGAATGTCCGACTCGATTCGCACTCCGAATTCCCCATCCTTGTAACAACCTGGTTCGTCCGACAGGAGAGATCCGGCAACAATCGGCTGTAGAAACAGTCGCCGCCGCCTTTCGCTTGCGAGAATCTGATCCCCAGGCACACTACCGCCGCCGATCTGGGCAGGCCCTTCATGGACATTCAGGTATGCGCCAATGCCATGACCTGTGCCATGACCGTACTGCAACCCATCTTGCCAGAGCGGCCCGCGCGCGTAGGCATCCAAAAGAAGGCCTGGAGTGCCTTCTGGGAAGACGGCCTTCGCCAAGGAGAGGTGGCCTTGCAGCACCCTCGTGTAGATGCGCTTCTCTTCAGCGCTCGGATTTCCGAAGTGCACCGTTCGGGTCACATCTGTCGTGCCGTCCTTGTACTGCGCGCCGGTGTCAATCAAGTAAATTTCTGATTGTTGAAGAACCTTGGAGTTGTTACGATCGGGCTGGTAGTGAACCACCGCTGAGTTCGAACCGACGGATGAAATCGTGTGAAAGCTATCTCCAACGTACAGCGGCTGCTTTCGCCGCAATTCCTGCATCATCTGGCAAACCTCGAATTCAGTTGGAGGGAGCTCATCCTGATTTGGTCTGCACAGGATTCGACGAAGCTTCGCAAAAAGCTCACAAAGAGCAATGGAGTCGCGCTTGCAAGCCCGTTTAATGCCAGAGATCTCCACATCGTTTTTGCTCGCCTTGAAGCGCTCGATGGGCGAGAGACCATGCACCCGCAGCTCTGGCTTCACCATGCTTAGAGTGGCCAAAGAACAGAAAGAGGAGTCAAGGAATACCTTGTCTTCCGGGCCTAACTCTTTGGCCAGCTCGTCGAAAAAGCCATTGTATGGCCTCACAGTCACCCCCGCTTCGGCGAGGCTCGACTGGACTTCTGCACAAAGTCTATTCCCGCCTCCACCCTCCTCGACTCCCCGAAGAAAAAGCAGAACTCGATCCGGAAAGATTGCAGCATAGGAGAAGAATAGGGGGTTGTACTCAATATCAGAGCCTCTTAAGTTGAAAAGCCAAGCGATCTGGTCCAGAGCACTCACGACACACACGTTGGCACCCTCTTTGTCAATTGCTTCCCGCACTCTTCGAATCTTCTGTGGCAGTGATTCACCTGCCAAATCCAGCGGATGCAGCTCCACCGGATTACACGGGTCGTCTGGTCGTGTTGTCCAGATGGCATCGACGAGGTTTGCCTTTACTTCTTTCAAGCAGACATCAGATCCCCACTTCGAGGTCCATTCTTTTGCAACTTCCGCAGGTACAAATCGTGGATCGACCCCAACGCACTTGCCATTCAGATTTGACCGGACCCAGTCCGTCAAAGAGGGGACGGAAGGTTGGAACTGACGCATCAGCACCCATTCTGTACCTCAGACACTTGAGATTCGGCGAGGGCTTGGGCTTTCGGCTCTGGCTGCGGCCAAGCTACCTGCCAGCTGTTTCTCTGCCTGGAGGAAGTAGCGGCTGTCCGTCCACAGCAAGGCTTGCTTGTCCGTCACGATGGCTGAGCCTGTGCGACGACCGTCATCGCCAGCATCTAGGCATGCACAGAGAACAGCTGCATGCCTGCACTGCCCGAGAAGCCGGTCAGAAAGCTCCGACGCTCATCCGCAGACGCCACATACTCGGAGCCATGTGCATCCTCTCAGTGGGCATGGACATAGAGGATGCAGGGGAAACGGTGAGAGCGGAGACCAAAAATTGTGTCGCTCATGTCTGTGGGTGTTAGACCCTACTTGCAGGGCCGTAAAGGCCCCGCTTGTTGCAAGATCTTTCTCCAGAACCGCAAATAGGGACTCCCCCTTCAACGGCAAACATCGTTTCCGCTTGCAGGCCTGGGGCCTGGGTCCACAATGGCTATACCGGATTGCTCGTGACTTGTATCAGTATCAGGCATCAGCATGCCCCAGCGTCCCCGAAAATGAAACATGAGGTGCTGTCGGTGCTGTGTCGCGGTCCGCGGTGCCCTGCCTCGCTTGTGACGATGTATGCGTCCAGTGCATGCGCCTTGAGCAAAGCACGCAAGCCTTGCAGGCGGTCGGCGCTGCCCTTGGGGTCGCAGTCATCGCAGAAAGGTCTGCCAGGACGGTAGCAGCACGGGCACTGCCTGGGCTGAGTATGGCTGAGACTACAGTCAGACGTCGATGTCGGAGAACAACCGTCGCACTCTGCCCGACGTTGAACCAAAACTGAGCACTACGACGAATGCAGCCTTTCTTTTTCGTCGTGTGGTAGCAGCGCTGTATCACGCCGTTCGGCGAAGAAACAGGCTGGAACGACGAGCCGGTGCCGGGGCGCATTCTGCACCCGGCCCGCTGTCGTTCGCCTTCCGCCGAAAACGGATCAAAAGGGCGGTGAGGGTGGGTAAACTGAAAAGCTTCGTCGAGCCAGAGTGCTGTCGACGTTCGTCGTTTACGGTTGTTACTGCACACACACGTGTGTTTCACAACAACCGTCGCACTCTGCCCGACGTTGAACCAAAACTGAGCACTACGACGAATGCAGCCTTTCTTTTTCGTCGTGTGGTGCCAGCGCTGTATCACGCCGTTCGGCGAAGAAACAGGCTGGAACGACGAGCCGGTGCCGGGGCGCATTCTGCACCCGCCGTGCGCACCGACTCTCCACCCCGCGCCGGCTCAGACGTGGAAGCCGTTGGCCAGCTCCAGGAGGTGGTCCGCCGCCTCCGTCGTGGCATACTCGAGGTCCTGCGCCGACCTGGCGAAGATGGAGAGGATCTCGTCGGTTGGCGTGGAGACCCTGTGCCATCCCTCGGCCGTCGCCCTGCTGAAGTCGTCTCTGGAGACGGCGTCGGCGACGTTGGCCTTGGAGGGGACTCTCTCGAACTCGACGAACCACCCTTGGTGCGCCGCAAGCGTCCAGAAGGCCGAGATCATGCCGTTCACCGCGGCGTCTTTCCCGTATCCCTTTGTAAGGGCTGCCTGTCCGGCGGTATTGTCGATAAATGCGACGATGGCCGGCGGCAGTCGGGCGCCGAAGGCGACAAAGGCGACGAGCTGGGCCAGCACCTCGAGCATGTAAATGTAGGCCTTCCTCGTCGAGAAGAGCTTGACAAACCATTCCGGCGCTACGCCGTGGTCGAAGAAGACCTGGTCGCCGATTCGTAGCACATATCCCCAGCCATTCGCCGCCTTCTTCGTCGGACGTACCCCCTGGGGTACGTGGCCAGCCTTGTGCCTGGTCTCCCCGTCGGTGAAGAAGGCGTCGCCAAAATCTGAAACCCTCTATACAACTGACCTTTGGCCTTAAAGGTTTAAGCGGCTTATGGTCATGATGTTATGGTCTTTACATTGAAGTTTCAATCGCAGCCTCGTCAGCTTCATCAATGAAAGGCTTGTCGTTATCATTCTGAGTCTCATCGTTCTTCTCGTCAGCCTGACCCTTCTTCTCAGAAGCGATAATGCCGTTGAGGACTTCATGCTTCATCTGCTCCTTAACGACTTGCACTGGGCAGTGTTTGGAAGGTGCATAGCAGCAGTAAGGCATCCATTGCATACAGTGTCAAGTGTTGCAATGGAACACGTGTGGCAAACCCATGACCTAGTGATTTTAACTCGGGCAGGCGGCAACCATCTCCTTGACATTCGCGAGGCTGTAGCCACTGCGCAATCGTTCCACAGCAATTTCCTGAAGTCATGACGGTAACGACTGGGGTCACGCAATAGACTGGAGGATGAAGGACAACACGACGATAGCAATTGTTTGATGTTATTCGCCTGAATTTTAACGATGCCTAGTTGCCGCGATCTCCTGCAACTTGTCAGTTGGATACATAGCACCGCCCACCTCCAGGGGTTGCCAAATTTCAACGTTTAAGGCTTGCGAGGCCTGGCTTGGGTTTCCACTCGTCATTCAATTAATTATTATTATTATATTATGTAATTTAAAACAGGCAACGTTCATTTGGACACAACCCCCGCCACAAGGATCTCTTTCTTGGTCTTGTATGGTCCTCCGATGGCCTTGATGCCAAACTTGGCTGAGTAGTGGTACGGGTTGCTGTAGGTTATCTTGTCCTTGTCACCACCTGAGTCACCACCTGAGCAACGGCGGCAGCTTGATTCGGGGCTCCTAGGTCCTACGTTTCAAAACACGGAGCAACAGCATGCTAGCGGGCCTTTGGGCTTGCTCTTACAGGCAGCCTTCGCCTTGGTGCTCGCACTTTTCGCCTTGGCTCTTGCTGCGGGGCGCTTCATTGCAGCACCTTCCTGGTCGTCCTGTGCATCCTCCTTCGCTCTCGCACTCTTCGCCTGGACTTTTGCTGCGGGTCGCTTCATCAAGCCAGGATCCTCGTCGCATTCAGGCCACGTTTCATCATCGAATACCAAGCCTTCTTCCTCGTACTCCTCTGCTGCCTCTAAGTCCTGGCGCTTCTTCTTTGAATTTGCTGGCTTTTTCTTCGGGCCTTTGGGTTTTTTTGCCTTGGGCTCCTCCTCCTTGACCTCCTTTTCTTCCTGTGGCTCCTCTTGCACTGGGTTGCATTGGCGGTTGCCTTTTGATCGCTTTCTTTTCGGTCTGCAGGGAGCTGCCTTCTCCTCGTCCTGTCCCTCATCATCATCCTCTGCAACTTGGCTCCCACCCTCCTCTCCCTTCTCCTCTTCCTGTTCCTTGGTTGCTTTGCATGTGGCTTTCTTCTTCAGTGCTGACTTTCTTGGGGCTGCCGAGGCTTTATTGGTCTCTGTCACGGGCTCCTTGTGCTCCTCACTGTCCTGAATGTGGCTTTTTGTAGGGTTTAGGGGTACCGTTACAGGCAGGGCTTTAAGGTTTGCATGAACGGGCCGGTGGTTGAGGCTCAGGCTTCACACTGTAAAAAACAATCCGTCCTCGGAGAGATTCTCGACAGTCTTTGAGATTGGCATACCATCCACCTGCAACTTCGACCTTTAAGAAACTTGCGCTGTGCAGCAGCTTACCGCTCCGCTTGACAACAATGGCAGCAGTTGCCTAGTAGATGCTGGCGCATTCCCTACCCAAACTCCCAAGGCTGTCACTGTCACCGTGTGATGTGATTTTGTTTTGTCTGACACTGAACTGCCAGCAAGACACTCACAAACAGCCAGTCATCTGCTGCCGTATACCAGGCTACACCGTATATCGGGCTATAAACACATCACATGATGATACATAATGTTATGCTGCAAACCTACACTTCGACTTTTAATAGCTACATAACTCAGACCTCGTCAGGACAAGGCAAGCAGATAACGGTAACGGATTTAAAATGTGCCGAGACGAGAAGGAAAATGTAAAGAGTCCCGGGCAGCATGAGAAAGACTCTGCGTCGTGTCCGTCCAAGCAACACCGGGTGGCTACTGTTTGGGCCCATCCTAAGAACCGAAACCTTTAACTTTCAAGCCTAAGCGCCTAGTAGGGTTCGGACAACGCTGAGACTTTGCAAAGTCGTGCGTCAGCGATGCAATCGCCAACCCAATGCCAATCTGAGAATTGAATCTGTCCAGCATGATCTTAGTGCAACCAACGCTGGCATGCCGACAAAAGACCTCGACCTAAGAACTGCAGAATGAATATTCATCAGACATGTCAATGTTTGGACAAGTCGCCACGGGGCCTTCTGCACGAGAACCCAGGATTTCTTTGGAATCATGAAGTTACACAGCGTGTACACTTTGGGCTTGCACACTTGGATCTTTGGGGGCTCCTCCGTAAACTCGACCTGATAGCTGGCAGCCCGCATGCTGGATGTAAAAGCACTTCCGATGCACAAACAACAAAGCCAAGTCAAGCAAAACTTGAAACGAGTCACCTCCCACACCAGGGCAGCATTCTTCCCGCGCCAAACCTTGTGGCAGTTGCCCACAAGCAGGGCCCCCAACGTCTGGGACCTGAGAACGGTTTTAAGGGTTGCGGGTTCAAGGTTTGGGCCTTAGGGCCTTACGATGAATTACAGAATTATCTGCAGCGGTGGGGCCTCATTGTCATGGCATCAACAGTGCTGGCGATCGCATTCGGTACGAAAACAGTGGTGCACTAGCTCCTATATCCCACCACCATCCCCGGATCTCCACCAGGACGATAGTAGTGCGAAAGTAGATAGCTAGCGAGCTAGCCGAGCGACGACCAGACGGACAAGCAACACAGCTAGCACGGACGTTCTTTTGTCTGGAGTGGCAACTATCCCAGGTTGCCTGGAGATAACTGATAGCCTTCGGCTATCTATCCAGGGTGGGCAGGGTGGGTACTTCAAAATTACCCCCCCTGATGGGGGACTTTATCCAGAATGGCCACGGTCACACACCGTCGTAGCCATTCCAAGTCACTGCTATCCTGTCTTCGCATGTCAGAACTCTCCTGCGAGCGACGATAGCGAACGAAACTTCGTTTCTAGCGAAGCTACCTTCGATAGCTTCGAGTAGTAATAGGTAAGCTAGCACACATAGTCGTAACTCGTTCCTCGTCACGAGGTACGTGCACTAGCTCCTATATCCCACCACCATCCCCGGAACTCCACCAGGACGATAGTAGTGCGAAAGTAGATAGCTAGCGAGCTAGCCGAGCGACGACCAGACGGACAAGCAACACAGCTAGCACGGACGTTCTTTTGTCTGGAGTGGCAACTATCCCAGGTTGCCTGGAGATAACTGATAGCCTTCGGCTATCTATCCCCACGCATCGCCACTCAGGCTACCAGGGATCTAGCTTTCTGGCCTTACGGCTAAACTTGGACACCCTATCCGGGGTCCCTCGCTTTCGCGTGCCTAGCTCCTGGTAGAAGCTATCTGCATGCGCGAGTAGCCGGCCCAGAACACGCCACTGGAATTCCTCTCCTTTCAGATCTATCCTCTGAGAGGGATCGAATTCCTTGAACTCCTCGTTTGTGAGGTCATCCGCTAGCTGGTTGATGTCTCTCCGTATCCACTGGAGCTGTAGCTCACAGTTTTTCTGGGATAGCTCTTCTGCTATCTCCATTAAAACTAGCATGGAGGGATACTTGGTCGTCATAGCCTTCTTCACAAGTGCCTCATTGGACTTGTTATCCGTATAGCCGCGGATGGCCACTCGCGAGGTCTTCCTATCCTCGCCCTCGGGGACCCAGAGACGTATCCCCACGAGGGTCGCTAGCAGTTCTAGCGCAGCTATCACTTTCTTGGGGTCGCCTTTGGCAAAGGCCCACGGAGCCCAGGCCCTATCCACTTCTAAGGAAAACCAGGGACCTGGCTTCCCTCCGGAAATCTCCAGGAAGCCACCTATCCAGGCCCTATCGGACTCAGCTTTAGCATCCGTGAAAAAGCTCAGTGGAGGTAGCCCGGCGTAGAGAGTCACGGGACGCTGTAGCCTCTCTCCTTGGTCAAGCTTGTCGGCTAGCCACCGCATCAGCACCCGGAGCATCGTCGGGATGATGAGGTAGCCGGACTTCCCTTGAATGGCTGCGCTCCACGCGTGGAGCGGCCCCAAGAAGGGCCTCTGCCAATCCAAGGCTATCGCAGCAAAGCCTAGCCGACCTAGCCCCTGCTGCATCTCCTTGGCCGTGACTTTGCCGAAGGTCACCTTGTCGTTTAGCCACGCCGATAGCCAGGACGCCCGATCCCTAGCCTGTAGGAGGAGTACTCTGTCTCCATTCCCAGCCACTCCACTCTATAGCCACCACGAGTCTTCGCCCATTTGAAAGGATATCCCAGAACAGAGAGGAAAAGGTAGCTCAACGGGATACCCTTCCTCCCCTCCGTTCCTATCCCCAGGGCCTCGAGGTCATCGGCATATAGAAGGAGGTCGATGGGGTAGCCGGGGCCCAACAGATGATGGGTTGCCCGTAGCCCACATGCGGCTATCCGGGTCCACCAGTAGCTAGCCGGCGAGAGTCCGAACGTGCCCACTTTGTTCACGTAGACGATCTGGCTATCCGGGTCCCCGGGGATCGTCTCCTCGGTGTCTATCTGGCAGCCCATGAAGCCGTGCTCGCTAGCCTGGTGTTTGTATCTTGGGTGGGCCTTCGAGATATCCCCCACGACCGAAAAGGCAATCTCGCCACAGCGTATCAGCTCTCGGAGGATTTGCTTCTTTTCTCTAGCCCCTGGCGCCCGGATCTTATCCCGACAGCGTATCCGGTGGTTAACCCGGACGCCGTGGGTCGCGTCGTGGATTATCCGCTTCTTGTCCTTCTCCTCGCCCTCGACTATCACGGCCAGGGAGGCGATAGCCCGGTCCTCGCCGAACCTCGCCTTGAACTCGCCGAGGGTCATCCTCTCCATGAGGCCTTCCTCGACGTCCTCGTCGAACTTAGCCCGCACAAAATCCCTGTGGTCGCTAACCGAGGAATAGTTCGGAACCCATGCTAGCGCCGGCTCCCAGGGGGCGTTGTCTAGCCTCCAGGAGGATTGCTCCTCGAACACGTGCGGTGTTCTGGGTAGCCCCCCCAATATCCCAAGTGGGAGTCCCTCCTCGGCCCGACGGAGGAAGTCCCTATCCGGGTCGCCTGCCACCTCGAGGATCGCACGAAGTAGCCGTAGACGAAGGGGCTGCCCAGGAGGAATATCCAGTAGGCCAGGTTCGCTGAGGTCCTGACCTTCTATCCAAACTTGCAGGAGTTGCAGTAGCTCTTCGTGTAGTTGGCTATCCCGGACGAGCTTGCAGGCCGACTCGCCTCCCATAGCCATTCGGAAGGCCTCCTTTTCTAGCTCGTTCTCGGATCCCACTCGCCTGGTTACCATCTCCCGGATCTTAGCCCTCAGCCAGTCCCAGGACTCGCCCGCGGCATGTCCACGAGAGTGTCGGGGCCAGCGCCCAGGAGAGCATAGCCCGCCACCGTCGTGGAATTCCTTTATCCCGTCGTTTTGATGGCATCGGCGGGGGGGTCCCGTGCCACCATGTAGCCGTGGACCCTCTGGTTGGTTTGTAACATAGTCGAGGTCGCCGGAACTCACCTTATCCTGCACAGTCGGTACCCCCTCTCCGGAGGCAGTCGGAGCAGTAGCCGTGCAGGTTGCCAGGGCCAACTGTGCTAGCCATCGGCAGAAGTTCGAGGGCCACTCGCCAAGCGTCTCCTTAGCCAGCATGGGGCTTTGCGGCGTCGATGAAGTAGCCGCCTTCGGCAAGGGGCCCAGATAGTAGCCATCGTTGTCGAAAGTGGGGAGGCCTTCGTGCACGGTAGCCGGCATTTCCAGAGGTGTCTTCAGTAGCAGTCGTGTCGGTTTCGCCGAGGGTGCCCCGAAGTTATCCAGGTGCAGGGCCACCGAACGTAGCCCGAGGCCAACTAGCCGTGCATGAGCCCACATGCTGGCCGGTCGCCGGCCTTTGTGGGGGCCAGCCGGCATAGCCCCCAGGTCTTCTGGCTGCTCCAGGACGAAGAAGGTAGCCGAGGAAACCGCAGCACTGCTATTTCAAAAGAAAAATCAGCAAAAATGTTGCCAAGAATAGCCCGGTCTCTCTCCTTGGCCGTGAGTGTAGCCAATCCTCTGGGCTCGTCGAAGCTTCGGACTGGCCGGGGACCTTTACGGTTAGCCGAGCTCGCCCTAGAGAACGTCGCCACAGGGGGAGACATAGCCACGATGTCGTAGTGGCCCGATTGAACTTTGTGGAGGTACTTCGCCCTCTGCTTGGAAGTAGCCAGGTCGATGGGCGGATTCCTCGCCAGATCCACACAAGAGATCTCAATATCGAGCCCGTAGGAAGAGACTAGCCGGCGGAGGTGGCTTTGGAAGCTACCTAGCCTTTCTCTTCCCGAGAAGAGGTAGAGAGCCTGTAGCCGCCGGTGTGTAGGTGTCGCCTCAGGTGTAGCCGAAGTAGACGGCTCAGGCACCGGTAGTCAGTTGGCCGCTGTCGACGTCGACGGCGTAGCCGCGCCGGGGCAGTTGATAGCCGAATGCGGTCCCCGACACTTCGTGCAGACATGCACGAAGTGGCACTTATCCCCTTTCTTGCAGCCACCTTTCAAATTAAACCGAAAACAAATCGGCTTATCATCCTCGGTGCGGTGGAAGGTGGCGGTCTTAGCCTTCTTGTTGCTATCCTTGCCGTCCTTGCCCTTGCCTCTGCCCTTGCCCTTCTTGTTGGGCTTAGCCGGCGGGGTGTTGGTGCTATCCCAGTTCCAGGGCTGCGGCCTTTTAGCACAGAGGGACAACGGAGTCGTGAAGTGCCGCTCCTTGGTAGCCGCGTCCTTCCAGGACTGGACTAGCGCGTCCGCGAAGGCTATCCCCTTGAGGACCATCTGCTTGTAGGCCTGTTTCCGGATAGCGTTCTCGTAGGATAGCACCAGGGTCCACGGGGGAGCGAGACTTCCGCTAGCCTCGTTGGACCGTAGCCCATAGCAGAAGTCGCCGAGCAGATAGTCTTTGTATTTCTCAAAGAGCTGGAAGTCGATATCCTTGAGTTCTGCTCGCCCTGGATGCTGGAGGCCTATCATGAGAAGTGCATTTTGCATGACTGTTAGCCGTAGCCGTAGTTGCTCCGGTCCGGATGGCATCGCCCCTTTCGAGGTAGCCTTCTTGAGCACGAGGGCGGTGCCCTTGCTATCCCACTGGGGAACTAGCACCTCCGGGTCTATCTCGTCTCTGGACAGCACCTCGTTCAGGGGCTCCGCCCTGAACTCGCCGGTCTCTAGCTCGTGCAGCTTTCGCTCAATATATTCCTTAGCCGGAATATGCTTATCCTCGGGCTCGCCAAACTTCTGCGAGAAGGACTGGCGCATAGCCATGTATTCCGTTTGGGGGATGGGCTTGGCCCATTCCCGGACCTCGCTAGCCGCTTCTCTATCCGCCTGCTCGCGGGTTCTGGCCTGCGCGGCTCTCCATGCAACCACGAAGGCAGCCGCTAGCGCCCTGTTTGTTAGTGAGCTTTCTGGCTCTATCGAGAAGTCCTTGGCTAGCACCGACTTGAGGTCGGCTTCGTC